AGATGTGTATAATTCGGCAGTGCCGGTGAGCATAGATCTTTGAGTAGTGCATATGCCTTAGGCCCTATCACCGTCAGCAATGTAGCTACTTTCCTATTGTCGTGTACCGAGTTTGCCTCTAGGTACGCCTCTAGCCGTTCTGCATACGCCGGCCAATCTTCTGTTTCATTGTCGAACGTATTTATTCGGCCTATCTGCGGCATGTTTCCAATAGTTATCTACGAATACTCACAGAAACTTCCTGTATTTCTGTTTTTCTTAGTTTTATCCTCGTCGCCAGATTTGTAATGTTTTATGACTCTTTATGTCACGACACGACGGACTGACAGGAGACGATTGCCATTTTCTCAGTTCAGTATTTATTGTAAAACATAGGTGGCAGCAAACATTGTTTATTGGGGATGAATACATTACAAAAACAATCTTTGGTAACCAGTGCTGAGCCTATAGTTGCCAAGTTAGGCATAAATGATTGCTTTTAATATCCCACGCTGTAGTTAGTAAGCCAGAGCTCTTGTTTAAATTTAATAACCCAGCCTATTCCCTCGTTAGCCCTAACTGATTGCTTTTAATAAATAACCCACCCTATGTAGTAGGAAACCATGCTGTTAATAATTTCAATAACCCACCCTTGTCATTTTATGACTCAAAGCTCCCTTGTAAACACGCGAGAGGAATGTTTAGCCATTGTTAGCAGCAAAGGAAGCGAGTCTCACTGCTGATTAATTATTCAATAGTTATCTGACGTCATTTAAGGCTTCCTACATTCTGATTGGCTAAAAGAAACATATATTTGCTTATGTGTACTGCAGAAAAAAAAATACGCAACCCGGACCCCTTTTTTCTTTTGGGGTTCATTGGTTCTATTGAATCATTTTCAAGAGGGGGAAACCTCGATTTTTGAAGAAATTAGAAGTAATTAAAAGACACCTCATAAGTCGGGGAAAGCTCATTTCCCGTTTCTAGGAATCAAAAATTTTCCGGGGGAGAACCCCCGACCCCCTTTCTTTTTGGGATTTTGGGAAAAAATTACCTGACCGTTTTCAAGAGAGGAAACATTGAATTTTGAAGAACTTAAATTAAAATCGCTATAAGATACTTCAGAAGTCGGGAAACCTCATTTCCCACCATTTAGAAATTAACATTTTCCCGGGAACCCGAACCTCCCTTTTCTCTTTGGGTTCATTGATTCATTATAATAATTTTCAAGAGGGGAAAACCTTGAATTTTGAAGAACGTAAAAGTAGTTAAAAGACACCTCAGAAGTCGGGAAAGCTCATTTCCCGCCTTCTAGGAATCAAAATTTTCCATGTGGAGAACCCCCGGACTCTCCTTTCTTTTTGGGACTTATGGGTTCATGGAAAAAAAAATCGTATGCAAATACTCAATTTTTTAAATGTATGTATACACACATAAGGCCTGCCTACTGTAATAACGATGGGATAAATTTACCTGACCGTTTTCAAGAGGGGAAAACCTTGAATTTTAAAGAACTTAAAAGTAATTAAGACATCTCAGACGTCGGGAAAACTCATTTCCCGCCTTCTAGGAATCAAACTTTTCCCGGGGAGAACCCCGACCCCCTATATTTTTGGGATTTATCGATTCATGAAAAAAAAAATTCGTATCCAACTACTCATTTTTTTAAATGTATTTATACACACATAAGGCCTATTTACTGTAATAACAAGTGGAAAAATTTATCTGACCGTTTTCAAGAGAGGAAACCTTGAATTTTAAAAAACTTAAAAGTAATTAAAAGACACCTCAGAAGTCGGGAAATCTCATTTCCCGCCTTCTAGGAATCAAAATTTTCACGGGGTAGAACCCCCTTCCTTTTTGGGGTTTATGGATTCATGGAAATAAAATCGTATGCAATTACTCATTTTTTAAATGTATGTATACACACATAAGGCCTATCTACTGTAATAACAATGCAATAAATTTACCTGACTGTTTTCAAGAGGGGAAAACCTTGAATTTTGAAGAACTCGGGAAAACTCATTTCCCGCCTTCTAGATATCAAAATTTTCCCGGACCCCACTTTTCTTTGGAGCTTATCGATTCATTAAAAAAAAGAATACGTATGCATCTACTATTTTTTTTATTTTTATGTAGGCGTATGTATACACACATAAGGCCTATTTCCTGTAATAACAATGGGAAAA